CAAATGTACAACCGTTAAAATCGCATTTACAACTGAAGATGACATAAGAATGTCAAAAGATAAATAGTATTCATGGTAGAATCAATTTATCAGAAGAACACCGCCGAAAATAATCGAAAGCCTCCTTAATCAGAACGAGATTCAATAAATCATTATTGACTGAATTAGTTTCGAATTGCAAACACTCGGTAAATCCAGGTTAAATCTTTCAACACAGATAAGTTAATAGGTGCCTAGATAACGAATTTCTTATGAATAGAAAACTATCTAACCTTGTTAGAAGTTGCCTTGTATTTCTTTCCTTCTTTGGCTTCCCTGTTTTAGAGGTGCTCTCGTTTTCTTCCAGAACTGTCCTATAGAGGAAAAGAGAGAAATATATTATGACTACGTACATGCCTGAGTTCTATTCATTCTAAATAATAAAGGGTGAATGTCTGAATCAAAAACCTCATAAGGAGCCACCACATCTTCTGCTAACAAAAAAAGAGTGCTTAAGTCTTATCGAACAAAGGCATTTGGAAATTTTATTGTTAAATAATACCTTATAATTATTGGGCATCTTCGAAAACAAAATGTGTAATTAATTGAAAATTTCATACAAGTTATTGCTACCAGGATAAGGTTAGGACACTATACACTTTACATTTTAGTTAATTACACAATAATCATAAAAGCCAGTTGAAAATATTTACAAGATAAATAGAAAAATGAGTAAATAAGCGATAAGTATACGAACAATTAAGAACGAATTTCTCGCGTTGCCAATGGAATCACGTTCAAGAAGAACTGTCATGGCGGCTTTGTCTGAGGACTTGTCCAACACTGCGCTATCTGCATTCCTCTACCTTTTTACATTTAACACTGTGAATTAATTTTATAAGGGCTACAAAGAGAAAGATGAACATTGTATTTCTATCCAAATGTAACTTTCTATAAGTTATTTACCTGAAGAAAAGTCGTAACACAGTGAAAAGCATGAATCCTCGACATGGTATCTGAACCACTCGATCCAGCATAAGTAAAACACTCGCCGACCTACTAAACAGACAATATCCAAGGTAGAAGGGTTAAAATGACGTGTTTCTTGACTTCACAGAAGCTGGAAAAGATGCTCGAATTTTCTTGTAGTTCGTTAGCTCTATCCACGTGCAAGACTGAGCGCAAATATGAATATTAATTTTGGAAATTATTTGAATTTCAAATGAGTTTTTCGACCTCAAAAGGCGGGCTTAAAATAAGCGACACCGAGTTCTTTGGTCTGATTGTTTCAGATATGAAACGGAGTTGGAAGCTTCCCTACAGATAGATTTTCAAAGAAATTCAATGGAGAGCTTAAAATAGTTGTTATTTTGAAATTATCATCTCGGAAATAGATGAAGATCAAGACAATTTCTTGAACAGCATTTTTTAGCCACTACAGAAGCGAGTCGAGTCCCTTCCTTTCATTAGGATTGGTTGAGTTTCAATAATAATAACAATAATAATAATAACAATAATAACGATTATAATTATAATATATTTATTAATTCGCCTGAAACCAATGCCTCGATCAATGGAACTGATGAAACAGAATCGAAATATTTGAAAAAGTGACCAAATATAGCCTCGACCCCTTCTTTTAATTTAAGACTTGACAGTTATTGGGATAATTACATTGTCAGCTTCGATTAGATGTCTAACGATGCTACAGCTTCAGTGAAATTAAAGTGGCTCCCTCATATTATTCAGTGGTTTATATAATCAATGCTTCACACCCCTGCACACGTGAGGGGCCGTCCTCACGTTTTAGGTCCAAACGTTGCTTTAGGTTAAGTCCTCGCCATTGGTTCCTTGGGTGGTTTTTAAATATTACCATCTAGTGTCGGATTTCATCGCCGAGTCAAACATTAAGATCATGAGAATGAAGGAAATGATCACCAACTAAATTAGCTCTTGACTGGGAGACAAATTCTCCTAGTCAGCTCTAAGGGGAATGTATAGAGAAGAGTAAAGAGAATATGCATACTGATGTTAGGGTGTTAAGAGCGAATCCATGCAAAAATCGACCAAAATCGTCAATTCGTGGCAAGGC